GGGGAGCTATGTCTAGTCCTAAAAGAGAAATGTTGCTTTTATGTGAACAGCAGTCTAAACTAGTGAGGGTTGCAGCACAAAAGTTAGCTGACCAAGCTTCTAAAATCCATCAAAAATTAAGAGTCACGGGCATCCTGGTCAGAGATCTAAAACTGGGCATTCTGGTTACTTCCCCTAGCTGGGTTATTGTTAATGCTTCTCATAACCCTATTATATGGATCATGCATACTCAACTTCTTGGTCAAATTTGTTTCTTCATATCTGACGACCTTAAAGCTACAAATGGTGATGCAAACAGATTTGCTGAGAGGTACTCATCATTTCTACTCAGAGCCCTTGAATAGAGCTCACATGGTGGCCCTGACTATGCCCTGCCCTGCCAGTGCCACTTCTGTGCAGAACAGCAGCCCCAGTGACTGATCTCCCTACGGCCTAACAGCCCTTAGGGTCACCAGTGCTGAGTGGGGCTTGAGGCCAGAGACAAAGGAACAAAGTACAAGGGCCTACATAAACTAAGGCCAACTGAGAAGAGCCTCAAAGGAAATTAGAGTGCGAAAGACAAAGGACTCCTAAAATCTGCTGATCACAAAAAGCGTGCTACATTTTCACCTGTGCTCTGCCCCTTTATTGGCTCTGCACACACTGAAGACCTATATGTAAGCTCCTAGATTCCAGGACTTCCTTGGCATCCACCTTGCCCCCATTGTCTGGTGAGGGCTTATCTTTATTGTAATAAGCCACACTTGGCACTATTCCTCACTGCTTATAATCCTGCAGTATCTTTTTGCTGGTGGAGAGCAAGAGAGAGAGCATTGGTCTGTCTCAGTGGGAAATTTAGCGAGACTTTATCTCAAAACAAAAAAGAAAAACAAAACAAAACTGACTAAGGAGGGGTTATTTTTTCAAAGCCCTTGGCACCCCAATCCCTGGCAAAGTGGTTCACATATCTGGTAATGTCTGCATACAGATACCCATTTCAACTCCAGAATTCCTGAACTTAGACCTCATCTGTGACCTCTTCTCTCCGTTCACCTCTCCCATTCTTGGCACATGATCCCTCTCTCTGACCCTTAGTCTCCCATCCCACCTGTAGAGGGCACTTTAGGTTTTCCCAGAGTTCTCATTGCTGCTGGCCAGGTCAGGGCTTCCCACATGCCCTCCACGGGGAGACCCCGCCGTGCATGGCTCCCTCTTCCTGACTCCACCGAGGCTCCCTGAGCCCTTCAGTGCAGGAGGAGGAAATGACAGGCTGACCCTAGGGTGATGGGCTCAAAGTCCTAATCGCCAGTTCTGGTTCTGGATCTGCCAATAACTGTGGAAAGAACTTGAACAAATCTTGTTTCTCTGTGGAAAAGGATAATACGACAGTAACTGTAGCTTCCACACCGTGCTTCACGTAGGATGCTTCTTTCTTTGGTGAATTCCAACAGTAATACTGAGGGTGTCTACCGCTAAAATTCCTGTTTTCCGGCTGGGCATGGTAGCCATACCCATGATCCCAGCATTTAGGAGACTGAAGCAGATGGACTGGAAATTTGTGGCCATCCCTGGTAATTTAGCAAAGCTTTGTCTAGAAAATAACATGAAATTAATAATAGGGCAAAGGCTCAGTACAGAAGGCCTGGGTTCAATGCCCAATATTAAATCCCACTTTCCAGATGAGGAAACTGAGGGTGAAGAAGTACATTGTTTAAGTAAGGGGAGACAGCTTTGTGCTGAAGCCTGGACTGGATCCGTGGAGTCTGGCCCCAAACCTTTCCTGTGCTGTATATATGAACCTCCCTCCCTAAAATAGCTCTCGTTTTATGGAGCATGAGCTATTTTCCAGGAACTGGGCTGAACACTTTGTATCCATTTATCTCCTTGAATCCTGGCTCCTTCCCATCAGAATCTCACCTTAAATGTCACCTTTTGGAGATATTTTCCGAGGCTTCCCACTAAATCTATCCCCCTTCTACTGCATATCCCATTCTGGCTTATTTCTCTCATGATATCTTGATTATTCACAACCCATCCGATTCCTTGCCACACACCTGCCTGTCTGTTCTTAGGTTCTGTATAACAAACTTCGTGAAGGCTCGGCCCATTGTTGGGTCCCCAACACCTCTCCAGCTTTAGGCACATAGTGGGACACTAAACAGTTGCTAAATAAATGAGTGGATCGTTGGCAACAACCCAGCGGAGTACAGGTCATTCTAACTGCTTTTTACAGATTGGGAAACCCAGGTGCAGACACGAAACCATTTAGAGTCCCCCAGTCAGTGCATGATGGAGCACGGAATCACACCACACAGGGAGACGCCAGAACCTCCCCTGCTCTGACCTCAAGGCTGCGGACACTCTCTGGGCCTTCATCTTGAAGAGAAGAGACATGTGCGATGGACAAGGAAGGCTTTGGCTTGTTTTCACTCTTCCTCCAGCAAGAGTGCAGAGGTTTGGACCCCTGTGGAGGCCAGACTGACAGGATTAGAGGAAACAGCTGGCCCGAGCCAGTGCCCTGCGGGAGGGAGCTCACATTCCCCGGACTCTGGGAGGGAGCAGCTCCCTGTAGCCCAGTCACATTCCAGGTCGGTCATTTTCCTGAACCCAGATGTTTGCTAATGAGCTGGGGAGAGGGGCTTTCAGCCCTCAGCCCCAGCTCTGGGCCCCACATTACCTCGGCCCCACGAGGCTGGCCAAGGGCCAGCAAGCTCTGGCTGCAGGCCGGTGCCCCGTGCCAGCCAGGCCTGTCAGGGCAGCTGGAGCGGCACTGCCAACCAGGTGCATCTCCTGGAGCTCAGGGACTCTGAGTTGACAGGTTCTGCCTTTCCCACTGGGACCCCATTATCCCAGGTCCTGCTGGTACTGCATCCCCACTGTGCCTAGTGGGAGGAGCTTTTCCGCAGACAGAAGGATGTGGTAGGCACAGAACATGGGCTGTGGGTTCAAGTCCAGCCTTCACCAGTTGCTAGTCTCAGGTAAACAACTACACTTCTGGGGGCTTTGATTTTCTTCACTTGTACAATGTGACAGTGACAGATTGTGGACAGGACCAGATGAGATCATGCAGCACAAACTGGTGTCATCAGCGAGACCCCTTCCAGGCTCCTGCCCACACTGTAGTCCTTCTGACCCCACATTCTTGATGTGGTGGTTGGGATTGTTCTACAAAGGCTCCCTGTGTTGGAGGGTGGGCTGCACAATGAAGGGCACTGGGATTCCATCTTGCTGCTGGCCCTGGGTGATGGGATACACTCATTAAGCTATGCTTTTAGCTTCCGCACTGTGGGCGTGGACTCTCACAAGGTGTAGACCCCCACTTCTGCCTAGCCCAGGGTCCACAGAGAATGGTGGTTGTAAGCTTTGGTGACTATTTCCTGGGTCCCTACTATGCCCAGTGCGGCCCAGGTCATCCTAAAGACGGTAGTTGCCATTGCCTCTTCCTCTGAGATTTTAGATGAGCTACCTAACCTCTATAGGCCTTGCTTTTCCACGTATTAGATGCGGATACAACATCGTTCATCTTACAGGCTTATTTCGAGAGTGCAGAGGAAGAGACTGGGCGTACTATGATATCAACCCTAACCACAGTGACCATTATGGAAAGACTAATAGGTGGGAGACGAAAATGACTTTGTTCAAGTATATATATTATACATCTCTTCTGGCCCCACTTTAGGCACCCGGGACATTGAAATAAATATGGAGCCCTGTCCTTAGGGGGCTCACAGTCTAACGGAGGGAGGAGTGTACACAAGTTTTGTACATGGAGAGCAGCTAAACTGTGTCCCACGCTGCTGGATCTCAGCCAGAGGAGGGAGTTTATTTTACCTGAGGGTCTTGGGAAGGCTTTCCAGTGTGGTGCTTTAGAACGTATTTGACAAGATAGGAAGAGAGTCAACCACAGGCAAGAGGTACAGTGCATACAGCAGCCAGCAGGGGATGGAGTATATGTACCGTGAAGATAACTCCAGGCCTCTAGTCCAGAGGAACTCCCTAGCAGAGCTGGTTAAATGCACAGACATAGACAACTCCAAGATAAAGCAAAAATATCACCGGTCAAGGGAAATCTCCAAGCAGGCAAGTTAGCTTCTCCCTTGAAGTAGACGACGGTGCCTCTTGTGGAGGATGCCAGTAATCCCAGCACTCAGGAAGCTGAGGCAGGAGCACGGCTTGGAGTTCAAGGCCAGCCTGGACTACACAGCAAGACCTTGCCTCCCCGCCCCCCACCCCCAAGAAGAACAACCCCAATCCACTCAAGTGCTCCCAGGTTAGATGCATCCAGGTTAGGCTGGAGGCTAAGCCAGGTACTTCCTCTTCCCAGGACTCAGGGAAACGAGTTAGTTTTCTAGTGTTCTAGTTCCAAATTGTTCTGGGACTCTCAGACCCTTCTCAGGTTGCTCGAAACCAGTGACTGGAGCCGATCAGAAGTCTAGTGACACCGGGTACAAACAGCACCGGCCCGAGCTGGGCCTCCAGGCCGGGAGGCAGTGGGTTGGCCAGGGTGCACCGCAACCGCGCAGCAGGGCTGGGGTCCTGGTGCCGGGTCTGGGTGGACTGGGGCGCCGTGCTCTCAGAGCGAGACAGCAGTGCCCAGTACCCACAAAACGGGCATCTTTGTCACCGTAAGGCCCGGCCTGGCCTGAGAGCTCAGTCTCGGAAAAAGTCAGGCAGGCGGAGAGAAGTCGAAGCGCGCAGAAACCCTGGAAGGGCGCCGGAGAACGGGTTGGGGCGCGCGGCTGGCTGTCCCGTGTCCCCGGCGCCACCCAGGCGTCCGGCCTCTCCTCCGCGCCGTCGGGCCGCGCCGAGGTCGGGCCGGGCGCTCTCGGGCCGGCGGGCAGGCGGAGGGGCCGGGGCCGCGGCGCCCCTCCTGCGCCCGCCCGCCGCACGGCGCGGTCCCTCCCCCCTGCGCCCGCCCCGCTCCCTATTTGGAGCGGAGACACCCTGACGTCGGAGCCGCTCGCGCCGCTCCCCCGCACCGCGCGCCCGCCCGGGCCGCAGACGGCGCGAGCGCAGCCCAGCCGAGCCTCGCGGGGCCGCCGCCAGCCCTGCCGGCCGCCTCGCCCAGCCCGCCGGGGGCGCTGCGACCCCGCGGCCCGCGCCCAGCTCCGGGGACCCGGCGGGGCTCCGCGATCCCCGCCGCCGCCGCGCCCGGTAAGTCCCGCCCGGCCCGGCCCGGCACGCGGGCGCCCGGCTGCTGCGCCCCGCCGCGAGTGCGTCCCCGCGCGTCCGCTGGCACCGTGTGGCGCCCCCTTCGCCGCCGGGACCCGGAGCCAGAGCCGGGCGCTGGGGACGTGGGCGCGGCTTGGGGTGGCGGGGTCCCCGCTGCGTCGCGCCCCGGGCTCCGCGGCTCGCAGGCCCGGCGAGGAGGCGGGAGGAGGAGATGCGCTCGGCGCCGGCGAGCCCCAGGCCGGCCGCGGGGGCCGGGCAGCGCGTCCTCGGCTCTGCCCGGGCCTCTCCGCCCCCGGCGCGCTGCCGCCCGGCCGCCCTGCGCCTCGCCCGCGGCTTCGGTCTCCGCAGCTGCGTGGCTCCGCCGCTCCACTTCCGTCCCGCTCCTTCCCCGGTGCTGTCTCTCTGTGCCCTCCCTCCTCCCGCCTCTGTGTTCAGCCTCCCTGAGCCTGTGACTCTGCCTTCATGGTCTCTCTCTTCTCTCCGTGCTGCCCTCTGGGAGAGTCGTCTTTGCGTCCGGAGCCGCCACCCTCGGATCCCGACGGTCGCCAGGTCCCCCAGTTGGGATAGTTTCGTGGATAGTTTCCCAGACTCGATAAAAGTCGGAGAACCCTCCTTTCCTCTCCGGCCTGCTGGTAGGTCTGGTCTGGATGATGCCCCTGGAATTGAGGCTTGGGCAGGGAGAGCCAGGCTTTTGGGGGCCTCAGCGCTTTAACCGTTCCATCCCTCACCCCTCACCCCTAACCCAGGCATTCTGCACCACTCGGCCCTGATTCGGTCCACCTGCCCGCCGGACTTGCTCCCAGGGCAGAGCGATTCTGATCTTTCCTAAGCCGCAGTCCAGGGGCAGAGGCTGCCTGCCTTGGCTTGGCCAGGGCTTGGCCAACATTTCCAGGCCCTTACCCAGCTGGAGGCCACCAGCTTGTAACTCACTAGAAGTAATCCCGGAAAACAGCCTGCTGAGGTGGGATGGGGTGGGGAAGGGACTTGTCAACAAGGAGCCCCTCATCCTTTGTTACTGTCCAAGCCGCCAGCCTCCTGAGACTCCCCCAGATGCTGGGGCTGCTTGGGCGTGGTTTGCATTGAGTTGGGGCCAAGAAGAATGGAGGCTGGAGTGTTTCCTTGGTGACCCCCACCCCTCTCCACCCACCCCTGCAAGCCAGACCTCTCTCCTGGGCCTGTGTGCTGGAAGGGGTACAAGGGAATGAGAAGTGCTCTGCATTATTAGCCAGAGGTGTGGCCTCATCATTTTAAAGTGAAATTTCAGACTGAGTGGAGCACCTTCCTGCAACCCCAAGGGTCGGAGGCTGCTGGGGCGGGCAGGGTTGTGGGTGAGGTCTGCAGGGGACTTCTGCTGAGCAGATGTGCCCGTGGCCCTGCAGCAGCTCATTAGCATGGGCTTGTTTTGGAGGCTGTTTGGGGTCTGCAGGCGGAAGGCCAGGGGTTGGTTGGGGATGCCTATGGAGGTAGCTAAGGCTGGAAGGGGGAGCCACCTGGGAGTGGTGGGCAGGCCTTGGGGATATGGGTTTGGGCCTGTACAGCTGCCCAATGGATAGTTGGTTTATGCTGCCTGCCCAGAACCTCCTGGGTACGGAAGGAAGAAAGGAAGGAAGGGAGGAAGCCACCCTGTGGTGAGACTGGGGTCGTGGAATCACAGTGGCCTCAAGCAACAGGCTGGAGCCAGACTGCTCCCGAGGGAGCCTGCTCCATTTGATGTTCCCAGGCTGTGCTGTCCATTCTGCAGGTGGCAAGTGGGAAGTACAGGGAGGTGAGGTGAATGGTCGGTGACTTGGTCAGTACCCACTGGACTGTCCTACCTCCAGTGAACCAATAGATGAACTTACGCAAAAACTCATCTCCGGACCCTGGAGGGCCCACGGAAACCCTGCCAGGCTGACCAGGTCAGGGGGCCTGTCACTGCCTTGCCCCAACCCAGAGCAACATTTTTCCGTTGCACCATTGAAGGAAGTCCCTGTACTCACTCCAAAACCTAGAGGGCTGCCCCACCCTGCTGATCCCCAGGCCTGGGGCAGCAGTCACGAATGCCACGCCCTCTCGCCAGCCGCATGCGCAGCCTGGTACAGGGGCAGAGCCTGTTTTCTGAAGTTGGAGCTGGATGGGGCTGCGCTCTCTGGGGTCCTGTCTGTCGGGGGCTCAGAAGGGGTAGATCCACACTGACTGGCCAGCCAGGATGGCACGCGCCACTTCCTCGAGATGGCTCCAAAATCCTGTTTTACTGGGGCACACGCAGCCGCAGATTGAGAAATTCTCAGGATGAGTCCTGGATTCGAGGAAGGAGAAGCAGGGTTCGAGGGGGTGGGGTGGGGTGGGGAAGAGGCTAGAGTGACCGCAAGCCAGTGCTCTCAGCAGTCCTGCTTTGCAGATGGGAAACCGAGGCATAGGAAGGTTCAAATGGCTGAGATTTGGACCAGGACCTGCGGTGTGTTTGTGTTTGGGGCGTGGATTCCCCTGTAACCCGGATGCTGAGCCTGTAGAAGCCTTGGTGGAGTCAGAGGGGGCAAATGTGGGAATGGTCCTCCTGGGAGGTTACTGAAGCAGGGGCTGATGTAAAAGCCTGCTCCTCTCCCAGTGATTTGCTGGCCTGGGCATCTGCATTCCTGACAAGCGCCTTGGAGAAGCTGCTAGATTCTGGTAGGCACAGAGGGGTCTTAGAGCCCTGTCCCCAAAGTCTGTGGCCACTGTCCTTACTGTCCTACATCCTTGGCCTTTCTGAGACACTGTCTGAACAAAGGTGCCCCAGGGAAGCCATTGGGCCCATCTGTGGTCTGCTAGGTGCTCTCTTCCTGGAGCAGCAGACACAGGCTGTTACTTTCTTTCCCTGTGCCTCAGTTTCCACAGTGCCAAAATGGGTCACTGGTGTCACCTCTTGGGGGCTTTGAGGACTTGGCGTGGGCCTGGGAGTACACGGGTGGGTTGTGAAGCTGAGCCTGTGCCACCCACTTCCACAGCAATCCTGTGGGAAAGGACAGTTTCATGTCTCTCCTGAGACCGCGCAGCCGGGGCCTGCCACGGGCACACGCTCGTCTGGTGAGAGCTGGGAGATGGATTCAGCCTCTGGTCCGTGGGCCTCCCTAGGTCCAGCCTGGGCAGCTGAGAACTACACGGTGCTAACAGGAGGAAAGAGCCGCACAGAGGAGCCCAGGCCCGCCCCCTGCCCAGGTCCTGTTCCACCCCCTCCCTGCATGCATCTCTTCCTCTCTAATTTCTTCCCTGTGACGCTGGCACGTGCAGGGGCCACTGGTGGTGCACCTGCCACTGCCCAGGGTTAAATCTCAGTGCAAACTTCTGCAGACCTCAGCCTCTCTGTGCCTTCATTGCTTCATCTGTGCACTGGGGAAATAATAGGATCCGGCCCATAGGGTTATTGTAAAGACTGAGATGATGAACATAGGGAGGAGCATTCAGGACAGCAATCTACCGTTAGAACTGGCTCCTCATTCCAGTCGAGGGCCCGGGAGGGTGTGTGAGCTGGCCGCTGCAGTCACTTCTCCTGGCCTTTCTTATGCAGGGCTCTCAGCACCTCTGAGCACCATCTCTGGGACTGTCCCCTCTCAAAACCCCTGTTTCCCCTTCACCCACTTCCCTGGGCCTCCCTGCTGGGCTCTGAGTTCCTGTGTAGGAGGACACAGAACCAGAGCCCCAGGCCCTTGCTGTTCCCCAGATGGCCTCCCTCCCACCCTTCCCTAGGCCTGCATTCCGAGAAGCCACCCCGAAAGGTGCATCCAACCTGCAGGGGATAGAGTGGCCCAGGGTTGCGCATGGCTCTGCCTGGCCTGCCTGAGGCGCTGGCCCTGGGAGGTCACTGATTCCCTTCCCGCCCTGGTACTCTGGTCCATGACACATTGTGTGACCTCCAGGGAGGGGAGGAAGGGTTGAGAATCTGGGTGAGGCTCGCCTGGCTTAGGAAGGAAGGTCTCACTGCTGCTTAAAGAAAACAAAAAACAAAAAACAGAGCTTCTAGTTAAAAAAACAAAACCACCACCAGTAATGACAAAGAAATAAAACCAGCTAGCAAAGATCCTATTCAATGGTAGGAGCAGTGTGTGTCATTCTGGGTAGGGCAGGGTAGGGCAAGGCAGGACGGGGTGAGAGGTCAGGAGGAGGTGGGGTGTCCCGCCCACCATCTGTGTGAAGAAGGCCCCCACAACCCTGCTGCCTCCCATGCGCTCCTGGGGTGGAGGGCTGGCCCCAGTGTGGGGCTGCTGGGTGTTGAGGCCTTCTTGAGATGGGTGCTGTGCTTTGGGGAGAGGAGGCTGGGTTCTGACAGGGACCCTTATACAAACAGTTCACTGGGCACTAGAGAGGGAGGAGGTTAAGGAGATGACCTTCTGCCTCAGTTTACCTCATTCTTCTGCTTCTCTCAAACTTAACTAGTGCCCATCTCCAGGCTACTTTCATTCCAGCCCCAGCCTCAACCGCCAGTCCTCCAGGGACCTTGGCCTGTCACCTCCCTGGCCCCAGCTGACCTGTCACTCCCAGGGAAGGGCCATGGGGTCCTGTATAGAGCAGAGACCTCTCTGGGGTCTAGAGTGCCAGTTCTGCCCAGCAAGGGCCAGGAGGCTGGAGGACCTGTCAGCCCCCTGGAGGGCACACTGGTTGCAGAGCAGTCATGCTGTCCGATAGGAACCAGCCCGATCTCTTTCCCTGGGATGTGGTTGTATTGAAGACATGGGCTATGGCGTGGGTCTTGTGAGTGAGACCGGAAATGTGCGTGTGAGCCTGGATCATGGCAGGACCTCCTTTGCAGTGGGGGTAGAACATCTGACCTCCCCTCCAGCTGCTCTCCTTCCTGCTGGGCCAGGGACAGGGTCATCTCCAGTGAGCTGAGGCTTCTGCAGGAAGGGGGCAGGAGCCCAGGGGACTTCAGGATGGTGCCCAGAAGGCCACAGTGTCTCTCAGCCCTGTAGGTAGCCATGTACTCCCTGAAGTCTGGCTCACCTGGCCCCCTCAGACCTCCACTGCCAGGCAGGCTCAACGCCCAGTCACTGCCCCCTTCCTGGACAGTTTACAGAGGTCACCACCACCTGTATTCTGCAGAAGGTGGCTCAGCTAAGGCCGTTGTGCATGGGCTGCCTGGTCCTAGGCCATCCCCTCTCTGGCGCCGGGCTCCTGTGGGAGCTGTCCTTGAGTCCTCAAGCCTGGCTTCAGCCTCACTCTGACAGAGTGCTCTGTCAGAATCATCCCAGGAAGCTTGGTAAAAATGCTGAGATCCAGCTGGGCATGTAGGCATATGCCTGAAATCTCAGCACCCGGGGAGGCTGAGGCAGGAGGACTGAACGCTAAAGCCTAGTCTGGGCAATTTAGACTCTGATTTAAAACATGAAGAAAAAAAAAAAAAAAAAAAAAAAAGCAGGGATGGGGCTGTAGCTCAGTGCAAAGGCCCGGGGTTCAGTCCCCCCAGTATCACAGGAGTTTCCGCCCCGCAAGTCCCCAGGGAATTCAGTGCATTATCAGGTTCCAAAACCTGAGGCCTGAGTTTCCAGGGTCACACAACAGGTGCACCCAGTACCCTTTGTCCAGTGTTCTCATTCCGGGTTGGGGACCCCCGCTTTCAGGCACTTCCCATATTTCTGAGTCTGAAGCCCTTTTCTGCTCTTTTTAGTGGTGGAAAAGTGGGTGAAATGTTAGAAAGGGGAAGGGAGACCCCGCTGTGAGCAAAGCCTCCAGACAGACTGTCCTGCAGCGCCATCTACTGGCAGACCCTGGTGTTGGCGTCGTGCTTTCCCACAGCGGGGGAACCTGCGTCCTTCTGCTTGGCTTTGTTTTCTGCTGACTCAGGGGCTAGCTAGGGCTGAAGGTAAAGACGGGTGGGCTTGAGGCTCTAATGGGGCATCTTAGAAAGAAATACGTCTGGTTGGGGTGGCAGAATTCACCAGGAAGTGAAGAATTTAGAGCCATCAAATTTCTGGTGTGACAGTGGCTTTCGAGGAGAGCTGGTGGGTGGGCGGCCAGCCCTCAAACTTTGCTAGAACAATTGTTTGTCTCCGGAAGGATCCTCAGCATCAAAGCAAGAAGGGACCTAAAGACTGTTCAACAATTCATGTGCACTTGGACACTTAGTGCCTGGCTTAGTCCCGGCAGGAATCCTCCGCCATGCAGAGAGCCTTGAAGAGACCAAGGTGCAGAGAGAAACAGTAACTTGTTCAGGGCTACATACTGAGTTACAAAAGTGATTCACAGCTGGCATGGTGGCGCACACCTGTCATCTCAGCACACTAGGAGGCTGAGCCAGGAGGGTCACAAATTTGAGCCCAGCCTAGGCAATTTAGCAAGACCCTGTCTCAAAAAAAAAAGGTCTGGTGATGTAGCTTAGTGCAAAGGCCTGGGATTCAATCTCCAGTACCGATAAAACAAAATAGGCTGGGGATGTAGCTCAGTGGTAGAGCCACTGCCTGGCGTGTGGGAGGCTCTGGGTTCAGTCCCCAGAACAAAGCATACAAATGGACTCCTTAAAAATACAAACAAACCAGGGTTGGGGGTTTAGCTCAGTGGCATAAGCTCCTGCCTTGCAAGCAGGCAGTCATGAGTTCGATCCCCGGTACCGATAAAAGAAGGAAAAAGACAAAAAAAAAAAAAAAAAAAAAAAAAAAAAAAAAAAAAAGAAAGAGACAAACACCCCCCCCAAACCTAAGATATTTGGCTCATTGAGCACCTCATTTAATATTTCTTATTTTTTAAATTTTTTGGTATGAGGATCAGCTCACAATCACGTGCTTGCAAGGCAGACAGTTACACCGCTGAGCTAAATCCCCGGCCCTTTAATTAATATTTCTGATACTCATGTGACACAGTGCTGTTTACAGCCCCCTATATATTTTTTACCCCTGTGCTGAAGATTGAACCAGGGGCTTTAAGCATGCTAGGCAAGGGCTTCTCATTAAGCTCTGCTGAAGCCCCCACAGCTCCATTTTCGAGGTTCAGAAAAGAGAAACACCTGGCCAGAGAGGAAAAGCTGTCCTTGGTTAGTGGGCGGGAGCTCTGGCTTGGAACACAAGGGTCAGATCCCATGATCCACGCTTGTACCTTAGCCCAGGCCCCCAGCCCAGACTCACCTGTCCCCCACGCTCAGTTCCAGGGCTCTGGAGGCCACAGGCATGATGCTCCGGGTCCTGGTGGGCGTTGTCCTCCCTGCCATGCTGCTGGCCGCCCCCCCGCCCATCAACAAGCTGGCACTGTTCCCGGACAAGAGCGCCTGGTGCGAAGCCAAGAACATCACCCAGATTGTGGGCCACAGCGGCTGCGAGGCCAAGTCCATCCAGAACAGGTGGGACAGAGGGCGGGGCCGTAGGACCACCAGGGCGGCCTAGCCCTGCCCCCGCCTTGGTGACACCGCATGATGACCTCTCCACAGGGCCTGCCTAGGACAGTGTTTCAGCTACAGCGTGCCCAACACCTTCCCGCAGTCCACAGAGTCCCTGGTGCACTGTGACTCCTGCATGCCAGCCCAGACCATGTGGGAGATCGTGAGTATGGTCCCCTCAACCTGCCCCGGGCCCTGAGTCAGGTCTCACCAGGTGCAGGGTGCAGGGCACACGTGTGGACCTTGCCACGAGATGGGTTGGAAGTCTGACACCAGTGTATACAGGACAAACATCGTTCTGAAGCCACTATGGGGTCTCACTCATGTACTGAAATTCTTTCAGTGGCTTCCCAACATCTCAGCCATGCCCACAGAGACCCATGAGGTCCGGCTCAGCAGGCCTGCCAGTGTCTTCTGGCCTCCTGCTGTCCTTACTAGTTTGATGCCTGACACCAACCTGCCTCTGTTCAGCCCTTCCTATCTGTTCTACTCCCTTCTACCTCAGGGCCTTTGCACCTGTTCTTTCCCCTGCCTGCCCTGCCCTCCTGCTTTTGCATCATTTTCCTTTCTTGTCTGAGTCCCTCTCAGTGCACCGCGTGCCTCTCCTTCAATGTCTGTCACTTCTGTGGTCTTCCAAGTACATCGGGCTGATTATGGCCAGTTGGTTTTCTTTGGGAGTTCATGTCTATCCTTATGTCCCCAGGGCTGGCAGAGGGTAGGTGCTCAGTGGAAGGAAGGAAGGAGGGAAAGAGAAAAGTGAGGACAGAAAGAAGGGTGGTGACAAGTGTGGCCCCAGGGGAAAGGCAGGATGCTGGTGGGGTTCCTCTAGGGTGGGTTGGTGGCTTGGGATGGGGCTTCTTTCAGTTCAGACCCAAAGGTGGCCCAGAAGAGAACTGGGCAGAGGTGTGGGGATGGGTTGGGAAGAACCAGCCAGAGGGGACAGGATATAAAATGTTCCCAAGGCAGGTCAGGAGCAGAGACTTGGAGGGGCGGAAGGCACAAGGTCCAGGTTGAGGGGTCAGCTGTGGCCAACCCAGCCTGAAAGTTCTGGGTGGCCAAGGAAGTGGTCATCTTTTTTGTCCAAGGGCAGTGGGGAAGCACTTGGGGAGGGTTAAGTGGGCAGCAGAGGACGCTGCACCCCACTGGGTGTGAGGAGCCAAGTGTGGCGGCCCCTGCAGTGACCTGGTCCCCCCATCCCTGGTCGGTGATTGCACGGGGCCTCGACACCTGCCCCAGACCTAGTGACTATCTTTCCCTTCCTCCTGCCCACCCTAGGTGACCTTGGAGTGCCCCGGCCATGAGGTGATGCCCAGGGTGGACAAGCTAGTGGAGAAGATCCTGCACTGCAGCTGCCAGGCCTGCGGCAAGGAGCCCAGCCACGAGGGGCTGAATGTCTACGTGCAGGGCGAAGATGGACCAGGCTCTCAGCCGGGCACCCATCCCCACCCCCACCCCCACCCCCACCCTCACCCCCACCCCGGTGGTCAGAACCCTGAGCCCCAGGAGACTCCTGGGGCCCCCCACGTTGAAGAAGAGGGGGCTGAGGACTGAGGCCCCCACTCTTCCTCCCCTCTCGCCCCCTGTGGAATGTTGGGTCTCACCCTCTGGGGAAGCGTGAGGGGAGAGGCGGAAGCTCCCCGGGCACTGGATGAACTTGGATTCAGACTTGGACTTGGAATGCTGTCTGGTTGCCATGGAGATCTCAAGGGGAGGAGTTGGAGCCAAGCTTCACAATCTAATATATTGAAGAGTGGGGGGAGTAGAAGGCTCTTTTTGGAAGGGGGACGGGCTTTCCTTTCTGCCTTGTAGAAATGTGTCCTTGGGAGGGGGAGGAGGGCGGCTAAGCTGCCGAGTCGTGGGTGAGGCTTCCAAGATGGCAGGTGCAGGCCAAGGCCTGCTGGCCCTTGGTGGGGCAGGACCCCCAGGGGTGGAGCTAGATGGTGCTGCCACGGGCCCTGGGCCAAGGGTGGCACCATGCCAGCGTCCACCTGGCAGGAGGACTGAGCTAGGAAGACCATTGGCAGAAGCAAGAAACTCCAGCCCCCACGTTTCCCTGAAGGCCTTTCCTGGACACTCCACCTCCAGGGAAGCATCTGCCCTGGGCACGAAGTGCCCCTCACCCAACAGAATGGTTTAGGAGTCAGGCTGGGCCGGACCCTGCTGACTCAGGGCACCAGGGCTAGGGCCATGCCCTCTGGGCCTTGCTCTGGCTTCCTTGGCTTGCTTGGTGTTGGGGACAGTGGCGGAGCCTCCCTGGGGCCTGGGTTGCGGGTGAGTCTCCCAGTCATCCCGAGAGGGTCCCTCTGTGGTAGACACTGCAGTGTCTCCTGTGCCCCTGCCCCAGCTCCTCAGAGAGCTCCAGGGGCAGGGGGAGGTCTTTCTGGGGGCCGATAGGATGGGGTGGTCTCTCTCACCAGAGGGTCCAAGCAGGACCAGAGTGGATGTTGGCTGAGCCTCTGGGAGCTCCAGGACAGGGTGACCCCTGTGGGTGACCTGTGATCTCGGCTCTTTAGCTCCCTAATCCTGCCCCCCACCAGCTGCACTTTAAACCTAGAGGGATGTGGGACTGGGCCAGGGTGGGTGGGCAGAGGGTAAAGCTCCCCCTGCCCCCTGAACTGCCCATGCTGCTCTCTCATGTGTGCCCAGGGCGATGGCAGCCCCCCACTCCTGCCTGGGGGTACCTGGCCCCTTGGCTGTTCCCACAGACGAGAGCTTCTGTAGAGCTTGTAATCAGTAGACTCCCCCTGAAGGACCCTGAGTCTTCTCATGAATAAATGCCTTCAATGCCTGTGTCTGCTTCCCTCTAGTCAGGGTCTGCCTGGGAGGTTGAGGAAGGAGCTGGGCCCAGGCCTGTGTGATAGGAAGCAGCTGCTCCACTGGTGCCACCCCCAGGGTCCCCTGTGCCCTGTCACAGTGCTCTACTCCCCTGTCTCCCTGGCTCCCACCTTTTCCCATGGGTGCCCATTGCGGGCCTTGTGTATGCTGTGGGCCTCAGAGCTGGGTTCCTTGGGTTTACCTCTCACGGTGGAAACAAAATCTCAAGCCACCTGCTGTAAATATAAGATTGGAGTCTTGCTAAGTAATGCACATAAACTAACCTGGCCCTCATGCTGCGTGGCAACGTGGCTCTCCTTTTCCAGATGAAGGACCGAGGTGCAGAGGGTCAAGTCCCCTCTCACCTCTGCCAGGGCCATACAGTTAAAACACCACATCCACAGGACTCAGATCCTGGGTAGTCTGGTCCTGGGCCCGTGAGTGCTTGGGGACACCAGCAATCCTAAATCCACGATGGGGTGAGGCGTTCTCGCCTGTTCTGCAGAGTGGGAAACAGGCTCTAGAAGCACAGGTGTGACTCGCATAGGCGCACAGCGCCCCCCCGCCCCATGTCAACCGGACACTTCTAGCATGGCAGTCAAAATGTCAACAATAAATGGGCCGCTAGGGGTCCTCGGTGCTGCACCTCTGAGCCCAGGAGCGCTGCTCCGTTGGCTGGAGTCCCGACCCTCCTGCGCAGAACCGGGCAGGATGCAGGTCCACAGGTTAACCAGGACTGGGTGGGAGGAGCAGGCAGGTGCGGTGGCAAGGCTGGCAGCGGGTCTGGAATGCCAAGCAGATGTCGGACTTTGCAGCAAGCTGTCCGCACTTCGGCAAGATTTGCGAAGGGTAGGAGAAAGGGGAGGGTGGAGACCAGCAAGGGTAAAGGCGGCAGTTCGGCGGGGCGACCCTGAAGGACCCAATTCTGAGTCCTCAGAGGGACTGGAGAGGCGGGGCCGCGCTAGGGGGCGTGGCCACACGGGAGAGGCGCTGCTGATTGGATGTGGGTGTAGGTGAGGGGGAGGAGCCACATTTGAAGAATGCCGATTTGACAAGTATTTCTAGTAGAGGGTGTGTGTGTGTGTTCGCGCGCTCGCGAGTCTGTGTGTCTGTGTAGTGACTTGATTTTTATCTTCGCCAAGCTCTGGCTGAGCCACCAAATGAGCCCAGGAATAAAACTAGCCCTTCTGCCCCTTGGAGGCGCCTAAAATCCTTACATGGGATTGGTGACCACACAGGCACTGTGAAGACCGGCCCCTCTCTGGATGGCTGGGTCACCACTGCCAGCGTCCCCACCTTGTTTGCCTGGATGGGTCCAGCTATCAGCCGGGTTTCTTCCCCCGTTCCAAGGCTCTGGAGAAGGCTGGATTGTCGGGCTTCAAATCCTGGTGGGCCCTTCCTAATCGCAATCATGAGCAGGTCATGTAAGATCTCTAAGGCTCAGTTTCTCTCTGTGAAAAACAGTACCTCCTAGTGACACAGCCTCACTCCGAGTCAGTGTGGATGTCATGAGTTACGACACAGAGAGTGCTTGGGACTGTGCCTGGCAACTAGGAAGACCTGAGTAAATTACTGTTACAGCTGCTGTTACTGCTGAGTTGGTGCACAGTTTTCCTGAGGCTTGGCTGTTCCATTATAGCCCCAGACACTTCTTGCAGAGATAGAAGCAAAATCTGAGCATCGTTCTTCTGTTTCTGAAGCGCTGAGCATTGAACTCAGGTAACTCTAAAGTTACCCAGGCCTGGCTCTGACGTGCAATCCTCCTGCCTCAGTCTCCAAGTAGACGGGATTTCAGGAATGTACCCCCACATCAGCAAAGGATGATCATTCTTGAAAGCCACTCTTTACCCTGAAATGTTAAAGATGCCCAGGACCTCACTGTTTCATGACAGAATTGCAAACGGAGGAGTTTACACGCAGAGCTACGCAAGAGGCCGCAGATTCAAAATAACGACACCGTGCCACAAGAGGGCACCACCACCTCGACCCAATCTTTAAAACAAAAAAAAAGCGAAGTACAGATTTTAGAATAATAAACATCCGTGGATCTATCATCACCAGGATGAACAAATCTTTTTTTTTTTTTTTTTTTTTTGTCTTTTTCCTTTTTATCGGTACCGGGGATCGAACTCATGACTGTCTGCTTGCAAAGCAGGCGCTTATGCCGCTGAGCTAAACCCCCAGCCCCTGATGAACAACTCTTAAAATTAACATCACATTTTCTATATAAAAATAAAAGACATCATACATTATAGAAACATCTAAAACAAAGGACGTATTATTTCCATATATATATATGTATATATATGTTTTTTTTACAAAGCTAAAATGTTTTTTACCAAGCACATCTGTTTTTACCAAGAGGTTGAAATACCAGTCACATTTGCAGAGCCCTAATTTCACAGCAGCAGAGAACTGAGGACACTTCGCCAATCTCACAGAGCAAGGAGCAGAATGAAGAGCAACCAGCCCAAATCACTCGGCTGCAAGATCCATCTCTAAAGCATCTGCCAGGGTTGCCGATGCTTGCTTAGAAATCCCTGGATTAACAAAGTGACTGCAGGGCTGGACACATTCCCATTGTACAGATGGGAACACTGAGGCCAAGAGTTAGCATGGACACAACACCAATTGACATTTATATCAGGCTCATTTCATCTCGTCAGTGCTCCTGGAAGGCAGATGCTGTATTCTGTTAAGCAGGCACTTCGGCTTGGAGCCCCATGTCAGGGTTGGGGCAGGGACAGGGGCCCAGGTTCTGAGGCTTCTGTACCGTGACTATAGTTGGCTTCCTTTGCCTCCAAGGAGTTTCAGTTCCCCCTGGATTGCTCGCTGCTGGTGACCTTGGGAGAGGCCCTTGACCTCTCTGCCGGTTTAATACCTACTTTTCAGCACCATTGTTTCTACATGTAGATACAAGGGTAACAATGATATAATCCCCCCACACCAGAATAGAGCTGGAGCCTTAGATGTGAGTCGTATTTTTATATTTCTGAAAAAAGATTTCCCCAGATCCCTTTTACATTATACATTTTTTCCTGTAGCAACTGTAATTTTAAGATCACTACACATATGGATTTGTCTTTTCTGAGACAGGGTCTCACTATGCAGTTCAGGCTGGCCTTGAGCTCACTGTGTAGCCCAGGCTGGTTTTGAATTAGCAATGATCCTCCTGCCTCAGCCTCCCAAGTGCTGGGATTACAGGCATGCACCACCATGTCCGGCTATCACTTCGTATTTTATTATGCTTATTATTTGTCTCCTCCACCATCGTGTAAGTCCCTGGAGGTGGGGAGCTTTGTTTTGGTCGCTGTGGCGCCCTGATTGGTCAGATCTGGTGCGCTGATACTTGTTAGGTGCTCAGGAAATATTCTGGAGTGACAGCCAGCGGTGACTGTCGAATGAATCTACACAGGAGGGTTAGGTGGGAGTGAGAGGGTGGGGGTGTGCACACACAGGCAGGAGGCGCCACACTCTATCCTCTGTCTGCAGTGACCCACCCTACCAGGCCTGGGGGAGCACCAACAAGTCAGGAACTTCATCCATGGTACCTGGCGCCGCCAGCCCTGGGATGATTTCTGCTCAGACTAAAGGTGAAGAATGCCAGGAATAATGAACCCATTTTATGGATGCCGCGATTGAGATCCAGTTGGCTTCCCCTAGTGCAGTGACACCTGCGCGAGCAGCCGGGTCCCCACCGGGGAGCAGTTCTTGGGTACAGGCGGGTCACAGCCCCCTTCTTTGGGTTCTGCCTGCGCCATCACCACGTGTGGAGTGGGGAGTGAGGTGTCGTTCCGCAGGCCTATGGTCCGGGACCCCACTTCCCGCGGGCTGGGACTCTGCTCTCTCCGCCCACCGCGGGGCGGGGCGCAGGCTGGGGCTGCGGGACCTCGCGCTCCTCCAGCACCGCCGGCTGCTCGCCGCGCCTCCCGCTCCGCCGCCCCGCTTCCACCCCGCGGTGCCTGCCGCAGTCGCCCGCAGCCAGCAGCGCGGGCGCCCAGGTAGCGGCTGGGGCGGGAGGCGCTGCGACTTGGGCGGCGGGGAGGGCGGAGCTCGGCGCTGCCCTGCGGGCCTGCTGGCCGGTTCCGCGGCCTCCCGCGAGCCTCCAGGCCGAGGGCGCGCGAGCCCGGGAAGCCTCCGCGCCGTGGGAGACCAGCCTTCCCCGCCCGTGCCCCCATCAGGGACCCCCAGAGCGCAACAGCCGGGGACCGAGCGCCCCCCACGCCCACCCACCCGGGAGCCTGCTGGAGAGCGCCCTTTCGCGCCCTGCTCCATCGCCCCGGGAACGCTGTCCCCGCGCCCTCGGGGGTCCCCGTCCTGCCTGGGGCGCCCATCCAGCCTCCCTCTAACTTTCCATCTCTCCTTTTGGGGACCTCAGCATCTCGGGTGCCCCTGCCCAAACTTCCTGTCCAAGAGTCGTGTCCCCCCAGCCCACTCCCAGGGGGGTACAGCTGCCCGCCTTCTAGAAGCTCACGGTCCCTGACCCTTTCATCTAGCGCCCAGGGTGTCCTTACCGTCCACGCCCATCGGGCTTCTCTCCTGCTGGCGGCTCAGCTGCCCCCCGCCCACCCTCCCACGTCCCCGGCCCTCAGCCTGTCCCCATGGTCCCCAAGCCGGGCCCTGCCAACCACAGCGCCCTGGCCTGGGCGTCTGGGCCGCCGCCGGAGTCGGAGGGCAGCGGCTGGGTGGCAGCCGCGCTGTGCGTGGTCATCGTGCTCACGGCGGCCGCCAACTTGCTGCTCATCGCGCTCATCTGCACGCAGCCGGCGCTGCGCAACACGTCGAACTTCTTCTTGGTGTCGCTCTTCACGTCGGACCTGATGGTGGGGCTGGTGGTGATGCCGCCGGCCATGCTGAACGTGCTGTACGGGCGCTGGGTGCTGGCGCGCAGCCTCTGCCTGCTCTGGGCCGCCTTCGACGTGATGTGCTGCAGCGCCTCCATCCTCAACCTCTGCCTCATCAGCCTGGACCGCTACCTGCTCATCCTGTCGCCGCTGCGCTACAAGCTGCGCATGACGCCCTCGCGCGCCCTGGCGCTCATCCTGGGCGCCTGGAGCCTCGCCTCGCTGGCCTCTTTCCTGCCCTTGCTGCTGGGCTGGCATCAACTTGGCCAAGCTCGGGCACCCGCTCCGGGCCAGTGCCGCCTGTTGGCCAGCCTGCCCTTCGTCCTTGTGGCGTCGGGCCTCACCTTCTTCCTGCCTTCGGGTGCCATCTGCTTCACTTACTGCAGGATTCTGCTGGCTGCGCGCAAGCAGGCCGTGCAGGTGGCCTCCTTCACCACCGGCACTGCCGGCCAGGCCTTGGAGACGCTGCAGGTAACCGGGCGCCCTGGGAGACCCGACCTGTGGGATGCGGGGAGCGAGCAGCTGTTGGGTGGCTCTGTCTCAGCCAACTCGTGCTGACGACTTCTGGGGTCATTCTAGCTCCCAGCGTTCTGAGCTCCAGACTTAGTGCCTGGCTGTTCACGGGACAGTTCCACGCGTCAGGAAGCCAACAAATGTGGCAGGCAGCAGAGGCAGGTCCGGCTCCTCCGTCAGTTCCTTCCTGGTCTTCCCCCTCTGAGCCCGGGAGGCCTTGTCGGCGTGGCACACAGGAACTTGGGAAGAAGCTCCCTCCCTCCTGCTCCTGCACCTCAGCCTGGAGGCCTTTTTGTTCTGCCTCCTGAATAGCTACCTTGCCACTGCCACCTCCCTCATGCTCGCCCTGGTCACTTGTCAGCTGGGAGCCTTTGGAGACTTCCTCAGGCTCCTTGGCTTCCATTCCAGACCACGACTGTCCATTTTCCGCTGAGCTAAATCCCTGCCTCTTTACTGTCTGTTTTCTGAACAGGAGCCAGAGCAGTTTTAAAAAATTGATCACGTTGCTCTCTTGCCACAAATCCCCACTGCATTCAAGGGGGAAACCCGTCTGCCTCCCAGCGTGGCCCCAGGAAGTAACCCCGCCTGCCCCTTCCGCTGCCTTCCCTTTCCTCCTCATGCTCTGTATCAGCCTCGGGTCCCCTGTGACAGTTCAGGCAGCACCAGGCTTGCATCTGTGCTAAACTCTTGGCATTGGCTGTGCCCTCTGCCTGCGACACCCTCACCTGGCTCCTTGTCAGCCTCCCTTATTGCCCAGCCCTGACTGCCCTGTCTGCAGCCCCCTTCTCCCGTTATCTCCCCCATAACTCCAAGTTTCTTTGTCAGCTTGGTCATTCTGGCTTCCTGACTTGAATATAAGCTCTTAGATATATGAGGCTACAGGTATCTGGGTCCCTTTTGATTCCCAGGCACACAGTAGGTGCTCAGTGGTTACCTGGGAAGGGGGAAGGTGCTCCTGCCCCAAGGCCCTGCACAGTCTACATATGAAGTGGCTGCCTTTGCTACCCAAGCCACGCTGTGCTCCGGCCTTGTGGCCCACTCTGAGGGGAGGGGATGTGGACTGACCAGGTCTGAGCCCCAGGGACCTAAGTTACTGTATGTAAGGCCTTGGGGGGGGGGTTCACCAGAGCCATCATGGAGGAGACTCTGGGATGGTGGTGGGTGCCTTGGGAGGCATGGGGTATCTGGGGATTTGATGGTGGCACCCAGCAGTGAGGCCTAGAGTGGCACCAAGCCTGTTATCTAGGAGGCCCAGGTGGACAGGGGTCCTGGCTGCAGCCCTGATCTATCTCCCTGCCTGTGCTCACAAGAATATTGTCAGGCCCCAGCGGGAGGCTGTGACCTGGATTTGCTGTCTCAGGGCAGGATGGCCATTCTGGGTCATCCAAGTGCTTTCCCGGCTTCTTTGTGTTATTTGTTTGTTTGTTTTGAGGCAGGCTCTCACTATATAGGCTGGCCTTGAACTCACTGTGTAGCCTAGGCAGTCTCAAACGCATGATGATCCTCCTGCCTCAGCCTCCCGAGTGCTGGGATCCCAGGTGTGTACCACCGTGCCTGCCTTGTTTTTTTCTTTGGTGTCAACAGAGATTTACTTTATTCCCAGTGTCAGTGAGATAATCCTGTCCCATAAGGCACTCCCAGTTTGTTGCTGTTTTTCGTGATTTCCTTGAAGTTTCCCTAAGTTGACTAAAGAAAAAGAAATGACAACACAGGCTTCCTTCCTGTGTGAATTTTCTGAGCTAAAAAAAACCTAGTGTGGGGCTGGAGATTTAGCTCAGCAGCATAAGCGCCTGCCTTGCAAGCATGCAGTCGTGAGTTTGATCCCTGGTATATATAAAAAAAAATCTCTTGAACCCAGTGCTCAGGATATTCACGAAGTGAACGAGTTAAGTGTGGGCGCTCGTGTTCTGATGCAGACAGCTCCGGGGTCTCCTGGCGGAAAGCCTACATGGCCATCTCCCTGGGTTTTTGCAGAGAGGTTTAAGAAAATTTTCAGCCATGAGGATCAAACCCATGCCAGGCTTGCACTTGCTGAGTGCGATACCCCAAACTCCCTTCACATTCTTGGCATCTTAGGCCATCAGGCTCTGGGGGATAGATGCCTTCCAATCTCTTTACATCCATCCCTTCCTTAATCTGCTAAACTCTTATATATTTAACATTAAAAAAAAGTTTTCTCAGTTATCTTGTTTTGTTTCTTTGTGTGTTTGAGACAGGGTCTTGATATGTAGCCCAGGCTGGCCTTGAACTCACGGCGATGCTCCTGCCTCAGCCTCCTGAGTGCTAGGATTACAGACATGTGCCATCATGGCTGACTCACTTATCTTTTTTTTCTCTGGCAATTTATTTGGAAAGAAAACTTCATAGCTCTTCTGGAAATGTAAAGTTGCTATTCCTTGTCATAGGTAGGGAGGAAGCCCAAACCTAATTTTGGAGAAATCCCAGTGGCATCATGAGGTCCCTTCAATAAGAGCCATGTGACTGAGCCCAAGGCCCGGTTCCTCTTTAAGTGTCAGGGGTGTTAATAACACGGTAGCGTCCACACAGGCTTCCCTTCGATGTTTGATCAGAGGAGGTGGATGGAGCCTGGGGCTAACGCTGTCTGTGACGCCGCTGTTTTGTGGGGCATCTATTTATTACTCAAGAGCCCCTCCATTCCCCCCTTTGCACCAGTAAGAAGCTGACTGCTCTGTGTGAATTTGGGGTGGAAGGAGAGATCAGGGTCTGGTGGTGCTGCTGTGAAGCAGATTTTCTTCCTGGGAACCCGGTAGCTGGTTCCAGGCTGCTTCTGTGATGGTGGCCCTGCAATCTCGGGGGAGCCTTCTGGGGCCCCCGGCTGCAGCCCCCTGAGTGCTCTTGACCTGTGGTGCACTGAGCTAGAGTGTTTAGTCCCCACCCACCCACTGAGGCAAGCACAGTGCTCCCACCACCATCCTGTAGGATGGATGAGGAGACTGGAGTTCAGAGAAAGGAGATGTGGCCTGCACAGAGCTCCACAGCTGGTAGATGAGGGTCCGGTGTCCAAGCTCGTTTCATCATCTGACTATTTTCTCCTTATCTGGTTTCCCCTCCCTCCACCACACTGCTTGCTCTTTCTCTTTTGGCCACACTGGATTCCTTGGTGTTCCTTAAGTACATGAAACACATTGCTGCCTCAGGATCTTTGCACCTATGGTTCCCTCTGTATGGTGTGTCTTTTATATTTCTGCCTGGCTCTCTCTGAGTTTCCATCTCTTTCTTCTGGCTTCTGTTCATTTGCTTCCCTGTTCCATCCATCAAGAATAGTAGCTGCCACCCTCCCATGGGGCTGGCTAGTCCTGGTTCCTTGGGTTACCTCTCTGGGTAGCCTTTACAGTCTCCCAGCATGTTGTACAGTTGCCCGTCTATTGACTGACAGTTGCTTTCCTCTAGACTCTGAGAGAGAGGGAACTTGGCCTTTTGCTTCCTGCCATGTTCCTGAATCTGCACCCAGCACATCATAGGTGCTCAGTCCATGTTTATGGAGGGAATGAGGAACAGGCAGTTTCGAAGAGCCTGGGACCACCCTGGTCATGTTGCTGCCTTCCCGCTCCCTCTGGGACCCGTTCTTGTCCAGGATGGAGTCTCTGTGCCTTTTGTGACATGAATTCCTTCGCTTGGTAATGAGGATGGTTGGTGAGGGCCTTCTCTGATGGTGCCTGTGTCCTGGTTGGAGAGAGCACCGTGATGGGGCAGTGCCGCCTTCAGGAGGGTTGTGGTGCTCTGGGGAGCCTCGGCCAGGAAACATTCCATGTCTGCCCACTGGGAGCCACAAAGTCACAGTGAACCCTAAAACCAAGGGTGGGGGACACCTTCTGGGCTTCGAGCCCAGCACCCTGTGTCTGCTCTGGTTCCCCACTAGCAGCTTCCATTTTGGGGTGTGTGTGTGTGTGTGTACCTAAAACAACTAAAGAGAATAAATAAAACTTGGGGTGCCCAGACCCCTTTCCTCCTGTGTTCAACCTCTCCGAGCCCTGAACTCTTCCTCAGCTTCCCCTCAATGGATAGGGAGCTGTGACGGGTCCCTGAGGCCCTGGATCCCCTGGGAGTGGGGACTTGGGACCTGGTCAGGATGTTATCACCCCTCCACATGCCTGTGTGTGAAAATGGGCTCTGAGAAGCCCCCCAGCTGGCCAGTGGTTCCATCGGGGCTTTGGGCATCCCCAGGGCTGGGAGAAGGGCTGTGCTGAGAGCTGGGGCTGCAGGGAAGGCTGGGGGGGGGCAGAGGTTGGGTAGTGGTGTCATTGTGAGCCATGGCCAGGGCAGGAGGATGTGTGTATAACATGATGCCCAAATGTTGGTGGCTGTCAGCCTTGGACGAGTCTTCAGGCTCAAGGGCACCTTTGGCAGCACGGGAGGCAGCGGGGGTGTCCAGCCTGATGGACAGTAGCAGGAAGGAGCAGCCAGGAGTTCCCTGCTGTCTCCCCAACCTCCCTCTGGCTCTGCGGCTTCCTCCCTTCCTGTATCTCTGCTGCCCACTCCTCTGTGCGCCTCCTCTTTCTGTCCCTCCCTCACAGTTCTCAGCTCTTGCTTCTGTGTCCCTGCCATCCCCTCCCCCACCATCATTTTCTCCTCCTCCCTGCCCCTCCCCTGCCTCCTCCTCCTCCCTCACCCAAGGGTGCATCATTCTGTCTTAGCAATCTTGTCTCTCATCTCTGTCTCTCCACCTCCTCAGAGGAGGAGGCTGAGATCACAAAAATATCTGCTCGGGGGCGGTGGGGGCAGAGCTGGGAAGGCTGGCAGAGAGGCTGTGCAGAGCAGGCAGGCTTGGCTGCTGCCCTGAACTGGGGACCTGGTGCTCCTGGGGCCAGGCCAGGAGCGTGGTGTCCAGCTATTCGTGGCTCATGTCTTCCCTATTTCCCATCACAACTGGATGACCCTGAACATGTCATGGCACTGCGCTGTACACCAGGGGCTAAGTCAGCAACTGGTTAGTGATGGAGCCAAGATGTGAAGCCAGGCAGTGTGGCTCCAGCCTGTCTTGTGACCCTCACATTACTGGGGATGATTGTGAACCTTTTAAATGGCACGAGGAGGAATGCATCAGCACTCTATTGTTTTTGCATTGCTAGGGATCGAACTGGGGTCTCATGCATGCCAGACAGACCCCTTCCCCCTGAGCCACATCCACAGCTCAGTAAGCACACTGGAAAATAAAAATTCAAGTGGAGTGTGGTGGTGCACATCTGTAATTCTAGCATTTGGGAGGCTGAGGCAGGAGAATTGCTGTGAATTTGCGGCCACCTGGGCTACATGGTGAGTCTAAGTCCAGCCTGGATTACACCCCAAGATCCAGTCTTTATATATATGTATTTCTCTATGAATTTCTTCCATTACCAGGAACACCCCTATCAATTTATAGCCTGTTCCTGCCCCTGTATGTTTACATATTTGCATCAGTTCCTAAAGAAACAGCGTTTTGTTTTGTGTACTTTTTAAACAAATAGAATCATACTGAATATTCTTTTGCTACTTGCCAGCATCATTTAATAATATGCCTTGGAGATCTTCCCATCTGATCAATGCATTCTGTGCATGTGCGTGTGCGTGTGCGTGTGTGTGTGTGTGTGTGTGTGTGTGTGTGTTACTGAGGCTTGTACTGAGCTACATCCTCAGCCCCCCTTTTGTTTTGTATTTTGAGACAGTGTCTTGCTAAGTTGCCCATGATGAGCTCAAATTTGCAGTCCTTTTGCCTCAGCCTCCCAGAGTGCTGGGATGTCATGCACGCACCCCCACATCCGGCCAATCAGTGCATGCTTTAAACACATTCCTGTGTTATTCTGCAGTGGGAGGGTGCTGTGGTCTTCTGGTGGACATTTATGCCTCTTCCAGGTTGCCCCCTCTCCCAGTGCTGTGCACACAGTGTTGTGTGTGCCACACATAAAGGGTTTGCTGAGCACAGGAATCTGTAATTGGAATCACTGGCTTATAGGGCACCGCCAGACAGCTGGCCTCTGACAGTGCCACCTTCCGTGAATATGTAGATATCAGAACATGGCCACCAGGCATCGTGAGGTGGCAGGAAAGTCAGAAAGGGGTGGAGAGGAGTTGGCTTCAGTTGGACCCTGGGGTGTGGGCTGGTGGCTGCCACTGACTTCTGCTTCTCGAGGGCCTGTTGGTGACAGTGGTGGGGTTGCCACTGGGGATGCCACTGTGGGATGTGGAAGCAGCATGGCCAAGTGGGAAGAGTGCAGCTTGGGGGCGACAGAAGCCCGGAGCCCGGCTGTGGCTCTTTCCTGCTGTGTGACTCCTGCCTCTGGGCCTCAGTTGCCTCCTCTGAAAAATAGGGGACGTACTCCCTGCCCCCCAAACTGACTAAATGACCTAGAGACTGTCAACAAATGGAGATGACAGGGCTGGTTTGGGGTCACTTGGGCTTTGGTTCAGGTACCTTTGGGAAGCTTTTCTGCCCTTTCTGGGCCTGTCTTTTGAGCCCCTTTCCTTGCCTATGTTTCTGGCTGATTCTTTCTGGATAAGCGGGGAGGAAAACCCAGGGTTGTTGTCTGGGAGATCCACAGGCTTTCAGCTCACCCTCACCCTTACCCTGATGTCCGCCCTGGACCTCACAGCCTTTACACTCCAGAGCCCAACACTGTCTGGGTCCAGGGCTCAGCAGGACGCCTGAAAACAATGACCATTCCCTCCCCTATTGTGTGGTAAGGGTATTGGGTGGGGTGAGAAGTGAATCTTCTGACCCCAGTAGTCCCCAGTCTTTTTGGCATCAGGGACCAGTTTTGCGAAAGAATTTTTCCATTGATGTGAGGTGGTGATTTGGGGATGCTTTGAGTGCATTCCATTTACTATTTCTTTATTTTTGAGACAAATTCGCACTATATAGGCCAGGCAGGCCTTGAACTCACAGTGATCCTCCTGCCTCAGCCTCCTGAGTTCTGGGATTACAGGCATCCACCACTATGCCTGGCACAAATGCATTACACTTACTGTGCACTTTGTCTCTATTACATTTATTTTCTTTATCTCCTCCCCATCCCCTGCTCTGTGGGTGCTGGGGACCACCCCGGCCCCATTCCCACATCACTGTGCCAGCAGCCTGGCCGCTGAGCACTGGCTCTGTCAGGTACTGTGCGAGCATCCACCTTCCATAGGGTCGGGGACTGTGAGCTTAGGGCTCCTCTCTCCCGCTTTATACCTCGTGGACGCAGCAGCTCTCTCAGGATCGCGGAGTGGGAGGAGGGTGGAGGCACGGTTTGATGCTGGCTCACCTGTATTCAAAGCCCAGACTTTGCTTGGGCACAATGCCGCCCCACCACGCCATGGCGAGACATCGAGAACTTCTCTGAGGCTACTCTTTTTTTAAATTTTACCCTTGATATTTGTAAAACTAAATTTCATCTGGATAAACACAGAAAGGGACACTCATTCCCGCATCCCCTTTCCAGAAAGAGAAGTCCTGGTCCTGTGGGCAGACAGCCTGCTGCTGGGGTTTCAGCACCGCGGACAAGGCACCGGCGGGGAGCCGGAGAGCGGAGAGCGGGCTGAGAGTGGGCTGGGGTGCTGGCTTTGAGGTCCCTGGCATCGACACATCTTGGCTTTGCCTCCTCCGCCCCCTTCCATCTGCAGAGGGTTGCCTGGGAATCTAGATGCCTTTCTGTCTCCCCACATCCTCTGGGAGCAGATGCGTGTCCGGTGGGGACGGAAAGAAGGGGGTCTCTGACTCTAGAGCCCCAGCTAGGCAGTGGTGAGTCAAAGCCTTGGTCTTGACCTCTTGTGCTGCTTTGAAGAGGCCAGGGACGCTGGCAAAAGGGGTTGGGCTCTTACACAAGTTAGGAAACGCTGGGCAAATCCCTGGTTTCAAGGCCCGAGTATGTTCCAGGCAGCACACACACCCTTTGCACAGTTCTTGATGGATGTTACGCACCAACACTTAATCAAATTGTAAATTTAGGTGGGTCTAGGTCTAACTTTTTTTTTTTTTTTTTTTTTTTTTTTTTGTCATTTTGAGACAGGGTCTCAATAGGCAGTTCAGGCTGGCCTTGAGCTCACTTTGTAGCCCGGGCTGGTTTCAAACTTGCAACGATCCTCCTGCCTCAGCTTCCTGAGTGCTGGGATTATACGTACACCCCCACCATGCCCTGCTTTAGTTGGGTCCAGCTTTGATGGAGAAAAAACCAAACTGATTATGACACAAAGGGGAGAAACGCAGGGGCTGCCCTATGCCGGTATTAGGGTTCAGTCTGGACTGGAGGAGGGCTTCATGTCCTGGCTTCCAAGGGCTTCTCAGGGCTTCATGTTAGCAGCTGGAGACCTTAGGGTGTTCTCTCAACTCTGGAAGAGTGGGACTTTTTCAACTGTTGTGTCTGTATATAAATTTCATTTCCTTAATTTTTCTGGGGAGGGGTTTTTGCAGATTTCATTAAATCATCAAAAGGCTTATTAAGGTTAAAAAAAAACAAATGAGAAAGAAAATAACTTCTTAGGCTGCAGCATCATCAGTGCGAAGGCTCCGCTGAGTCTGCTGCTTGCCAGGGGCTAAGTCAAATCCCAGCCTCCCAGCCCATGTCCTCCTCCCGGTGGCCGTCAAGGGGCAGCTTTTCTCTCCTCCCTCACTTCTCTCCTCTGTGAGCTTGCAGTTCTCTGTGGAGACATCTGCCAGTCCGTACTGTAATCGAGTTATAAAAAGCTGAGATCCCTAGCATCCCTAGTGATCCATGAGAGATTTAATTTCCACCATTTTTGGTGCACATTCTCAAACACAAAGACAAACCCAGACACTTGTGGAGCACGAGGGTAATTGTGACAGGCAAAAACCATTATCCCTAAATACGAAGAAAATCCATATACAGAGAAATTGTGAGCTCTGAAAGCAGAAGTGTCTCTTTTTCAAGTACTGTTCAATAAGAATTGATTCCTGGAGTGCTAAAGGCTTTGGAAGGTTCTGGGGCTCGCTGTTGTGTGTGCCAGGCTGTGCTGAGGGTTCACTTAGCAGGTTGTTCTTCTGAACCACCTGACTTGTGGCTGGAGAGGTGCCACCCTCTCCCTATGCTGCCTAGAGCTCTTTGTGAGGTTCTGGCCCAGGATCAGGGCTCAGTCTGGGTCTGTGCTTGTTGGAGACCTGGGTTTAGAGTCGATGTCAGGGTGTGACCCTGAGCCAGAGTCAAGGTTCACTTTGGACTCATGGTTAAGCATTGGTCTGAGACTCCAAATGGGGCTCACTCAAGGATCAGGGCTCAGTTTATCGCTGGGACTAGGGCTCAGTCTACAAGCAAGGTTGAGATTAAGTCTGTGGCTACAATCAGGATCTGATTAGGGCTCTTTCTCAGCTAACTCATGTGTTCTTCCTTTCTGCAGGTGCCCAAGACCCCACAGCCAGGGCTGGAGTCTACTGACAGCAGGCGTCTGGCCACCAAGCACAGCAGGAAGGCATTGAAGGCCAGCCTGACTCTGGGCATCCTGCTGGGCATGTTCTTTGTGACCTGGTTGCCCTTCTTTGTGGCCAACATCATCCAGGTAATGCCACAGATGGATCCAGGATGTGGTGGGGCGACCTCAAGTGTCAGCCCAGCCCAGGTTCGGGGAGGGAGAGGGTGGCCGTCTCCCATCGTGCCCATGCTTGTGTGTGTGTTCCATCTGTGCTGGGTGGGTGGTCATGACACATCCTGTCCCCCACAGGCTGTGTGTGACTGCATCTCCCCGGGCCTCTTTGATGTCCTTACATGGCTGGGGTACTGTAACAGTACCATGAACCCCATCATCTACCCACTTTTCATGCGGGACTTCAAGCGGGCTCTGGGAAAGTTCCTGCCCTGCCCTCACTGTCCTCCAGAGCCCCGGGCCACCCCGGCCTCCCCCTCCATGCGGACCTCTCACAGCGGTGCCCGGCCTGGCCTGAGCCTGCAGCATGTGCTGCCACTGCCACTGCCTCTGAACTCCTCAGACTCAGACTCCGGTGGTTCCTCCGGCCTGCAGCTCACGACCCAGCTGCTGCTGCCTGGAGAGGCCACCCGGGACCCCCTGCCACCCCCCAGGCCCGCTGCTGCAGTCAACTTCTTCAACATCAATCGAGCGGAGCCTGAGCTGCGACTGCACCCTCTCGGTACCCCTACGAACTGACCAGGTTTGGAGCTGGCCAGGGAGAGCTGGATTGGATGGGACCAAGTCCCTGGGGCCCTGAGCCAACTCCTGGCTCAGGCCAGGAAACTGCAGGTGTCTTGGGAGCCCTCTGAGCTTCAGAGGCTGCCCTGAGCCCGCACTGCTCCAGGGCCCTGACCCAGGGAGAGGACAGCTGGCTTGGCACAGCCCGCTGCAGATGCTCGCCATTGAGAGCAAGTTGCGGTTTCTGTAGAGGATGCTGGGTAGAGTGGGAGATGGGGTGCAGGACCTCTTGGTTCAGATTAGGTTAGAAGTACCCTGACCTTTGCTCCTCTCAGGCTAGTGGTAGGGAGCACTTCTTCTGTGGATTCACACGTGGCCCGGTCTTGGCTACTCAATGTGCAGTTCTTGGACCATCAGCAAACTCCTCACCTCCTGGGCATTTACACAGAGGATAGAGCCCATCCATCTGCCTCAGACCTGCTAAGTCAGGATCGTGTGTTACCAAGGTCCCGGGTGACACAGTTCGAGATGTGCTGGCTGAGACGCCCTTTCACCCTGAGGACTTGCTGCACACTTTTCAGACCTGACAGCCTCCAGAGTGTGAGTGTTAGCACAGCAAAATACCCGAGGCTGTCAGGCAGGCAAGCTTTGGATTTCCGCTCATCCTCCTCACTCTGGGCTGGCCCAGGTTCCTTCACCGCTCTGAGTCATGGATGTCTCAGGAGTGAAGTGGGAGAACAATGTCACTTTGTAGCTTTATGACTTAGGACAGTGCACAGGGGGTGGCCTGTTGTCCTTATGACCTCTGCTGGGCAGGAAAGACTGTTTGTTCCCACTGTTATCTTTTGCAGTGCTGGGGATGGAGCCCAGGACCTGGGGCATACTAGTCACGTGCTCTACCCCCAACCGCTCCCCAACCCCGTCCAGATTTCCACCACCCAACTCTGGTTCCACAACTCCTTTTCTGGGTGCCAGATGGGGTTCCGATTGCTCAGCACCCCCCTCCCCCGCTCCGGGCCTCTGTTGACTTCCCTGGGGCATAGGGGGCCATGGAAGTTTCTTGTTGAACATCAGGGATGGGTTTTGTTCTACCCTAGGTTTTCCTGGACCTGAAAGGGAGCAGCTAACACAGGCCCTTGTCCTTCCATGGGCCAGTAAGGGAGACTGGACTGGTGGCCACTTGAATCCACAGGGGAGAGTTGGAAAACTGTCCCTGGTGTGGGCTGGGGCAACAGGCAGGCAGGTAGACTCTTTGGGCACAAGGTGTGGGAACTTGGTTCCTAATTTACCTGCCCTATTGAGGGTTTTCTTAACACCACTAAACTCCATCAACCCCCAAACTACCAGGGACCAGGTGCTCTCCTTGGTGCTGATCAGACTCAATTCGGTCCTGGCTGCTGGTTGTGGAGGGGCCATGGTGCTTGCTGGGGCTCCCTGGATGCCACCAGGGCTGTCAATAAACTAAAGATAAAGAACATGACCACGGTGTGGAACGGATTCTATGGAGGGGCCGTGCGGGCAGCTGGGGCAGAGGGAAGAGACATGGGGCCCGTGCATCCTGGGTTCTGGTCTGAACTTCTACTTTGCTTTGGGACTCCAGCAAAATCCTTTTGGAGGTGGGGCTCAGCTTATCACATGGGACAGGAGTGGTCTGAATGAGAAGCAGAGGGGTGGCATAAATGTTGCAAAATTAACAAATTCAGACGTGCTGGAGACGCCATCCAGCACCTGTATTCTGGAACTCGCTGCTCCTGCCTTCCTCCCATCTTCCCAGAGCCTGGCCACATGTCCTCTGCCTGGGTGCAGGGAGGGTCACCTCTGGCCCTGCCGTCCAGGGGGAGGAGGAGGAACAGAGGAAGGCACTGGGGGATGTGGACAAGGTGCCTAGGAGCTGGGCTCTGAAGTCCCACTGGCTGGGGTTTGGCTCCACCACTGGACTAGCTCTGCAAGCTCTGGCAGGTTACCTAACCTCTCAGAGCCGCAGTTCACCGAGTACAAAGTGTTGACAGCAGCAGCTACTCAAGGGTGATTCTGAAGACTGACATCATGAACACCCTGGGTACGTGGTAGGTACTGTTTATTACTGTCATCACTCCTGATCCTGCCAGGACATCCTTCCTCTGTATAATCCACTGTCCCTTCTCCTACCTATTCTGTATCGCTACGTCCAGACTCCCCGAGCTGCACAATTTCAGGGCACTGTTCCTATCACATATTTGTGACTGCTGCTTCTGAATTGTGCAGTGCACAGCCTGTGTGGTGGTACAAGACAGACGTGACTGGATCCCCTCGGAGCAGAGGGAGAAAGCTGCTCCCTTGGCACCTGGGCCTGTTCTGTAGGTGGCATCACAGATTCCCTGGACTCCCTGAGGGGCAGCCAGACCTCACAGCTGGGACCTGCAGTGCAGGGAGCCCTTGCTCGACTAGGGTGGCAACATTTTACCCCCCAGTTCTGCTCCCTTCAAGTCCAGTTCTTCCAGCTCAGGAAAGGCACTTGTAGAAATCTCCACCTTCAGAGCTCACCTGGAGCCTGGGTGGGTGGAAATGAGCTGCACGTAGAGACCAAGGAAGACAGTTCAGGTCCGTGCTGGGGTCAGTCCAGTCCTGGGCAGGGCCCCTGGGACTGTGAACAGTTGGGACAGCCTAGTGGGTTGGGGCCCATGCCATGGCTGCAGACATGGGCACTCTCATCTGGGCCTTGAATAGCAGGAAGTGAGGCCCCTTCAGACTGGTCCAATTCTGCTAGCACCTGGGTATGGCTGGGGTCAGGGGGCTCAGCCACTTTGGGGGTGTCTCCTGGTGCAGGCTCCTGGGTTTGCCCATCCTGGTGGGGGATCTGGCCCGCTGAGGAGGCAGCTGTGGCCTGGTGAGGCTCCTCTTGGGATTGGTTGCTCGGGGCCAGCAAAAGCCCTTTCTCACCCCAGCCTGGCTTGGTGCGGATGCCCACGGCTTTCAGGATGATGTCCATCTTCTTGGCATAGTCCAAATGGCCACCGACCTGCAAGAGGATAGGAAGAAAAGGTCAGGGTGAGTGCAAAGCTTCTGGATCTGACCCTTGGCATCTTTAGCCACCCAACCATCAGTGCCAAGACTCCAGCTCTCAATGTCTCTCACCTGCCTTTCCACGGTGTGACAGATCACACTGGATAATCAAATGACTTTTTAAGAACACAGAAAGACGATTCTGTACAGGGCTTTGTTATTTTCTCTCCAATGGCACCTGCCTGCCCCGTTTCTTTTCCCACAAACACTTTCAAACAGTTCTCTGTGAAAACACACAGGTGTGCAAGGCTGTTTGCTCCCGGGGTTCAGGGTGGAGGTCACGATGGGGCCAGGGCCTTTGTGCAGGACGAGGCACAGTTAGTGGCTATATGGCATCAGAAAGAACCTACATTTGAGCTCTGAGAAATGGGTCCTGGCCCTGGCTCTGGCTCTCACCGGGAACCCAGCTGAGTCCCATGATCTCCTGAATCCCCATCTGTAAAATGCGGCTCATGAGGCTGAATATTACTACAGAGTTCAAGGCTCTGGCACCTCACAGGAGCCAGTGTATGCTCTGTCTTGCACTGTGATCTTCTAACAGGAGCCAAAACACTTGCATAGAGATTTAGTGATGTCCACAGTCAAAGTGTTGGCAGGAAGAAATCATACATGCCCATCACAAAGCACAATATTTGGCAGGTAGCAGGTGTTCCACAAATATACACACCCTTACTCTGGTTTCTTTCCTGCTTTCTTTCTTTCTCTCTCTTTTTTTTTTTTTTTTTTTTTTTTTTTTGAGACAGGGTCTGGCTATGCAGTTCAGGTTGGCCTTGGTCTCTCTGTGTAGCCCAGGCTGGTCTTGAACTTGCACCAAGCCTCTGCCTCAGCCTCCCGAGTGCTGGGATTCCAGGAGTGCCCCACCACGCCTGGCTCCTGCTTTCTTCTTTTTAGAAAAAAATATTTGCTAGCACCAGGGATTGAACCTAGGGTCTTCTCACTGAGCTCTTTATTTATTTTTTTAAATCCCTAAGTTTCCCAGGCTGGGCTTGAAGTAGTTTCCCAAGTGGCCCCACTAGGCCTTCTTTGATCCCTGGCTGCTTCCTGCCTGCCATGCCAGGGACTGTTCCTCCTCGGCCGTGGAGTCAGCTGAATATGGACTGAAACTTCTGCAAACTGCAAGCTAAAATAAGCCTCCTTTCCCTTGTGGGTGTGGCACATTTTCTCCCAACTGTGAAACAGTAACTAAAAAGGTCTCCTTATACCATTTCAATGTCGGTGAAAGGCCAGGGCAAGCGCTGGGTGGAAACAGGTCAGGGAGAAAGGGCGAGGTTGCCGGCTGCTTCATCCTGCTTACTCGGTAGAAATCCTACCACGCAGCTGTTGGCCCTCCAGCCCTCCTCTGCCAAACCAAGAGCCTGGGCTGCCATTCTGCACCAACTCAGGAGGGAGAAGCTGCTGTCGGGGTTGTGACAGCGGATGACAGTGCAGGGGTGAGGTAGGCAGGAAAAGAGTCATCCTAGCTGTGGAATGTTCTGGCATGGTTAGGGTTAGATACATGCAGGACTTTGCTACCTCGAGTGCTAGTGTGGAGAGGCCTTTCTCGATGCCCCACATGGCTGGGGATGCTCTGGGGCTCTATGGCCTCTGTGCACCTGAGCTGGCTCTTAATAAACCCTCAGTGTCAGCTACTCACACAAGTGATTTGCTGATAGATTGACAGCTCTGGACACTTGTGACAGTGCTGTTTCCCTCAACAGCACCCCCCCCCCCCCATCATGCAAACCTAGGGTTACCTAGGTTTACCAGGCCCCTGGTTTCCTGCACCTCCTGGGGCTCAGTTTCCTCCTCTGTAAAGTGGGTGTAGTGAGGCGGACAGGGTGGGGCATGCCTATAATCCCCACACTCCGGGAGGCTGAGGTGGGAGGATAAGTTTCAAGCCCAGCTTGCACAACTTTAGTGAGATCATTTCAAAAATTAAAAAAACAGGCTCAGTGTGAGGGCCCTGGGTTGCACCGTGTGGCCTGGTGGGAGGACTCGTAGCCAAATGTGGAACAGGCTCCCTGGCAGAGGGCAGCCGCCTCTCCAGGCCACAGCTGTAGGCGCACAGTCAGTCCAGATGTGTGGTTAGGGGCGCAGCTCTCAAGCAGGTTCCTCATATTCACAACTCACAGGCAGCCTCCGTCTCCACACCTGCACGGTGGCTCAGGAAGCCTTCATGGGCCGCCATCCAGGGTCACACAGCAGATCCTGGCGGAGCATGGTGCAGGCCTGGCCCATGCTGGTCCTTGTCAGTATCTGAGGATCTGGTTGGTGCCCTGCCCTTTGCTGAGCTCATACCTCCTCTGGGACATGAGAGTCTTGCTCCGGGCTGGGCCACAGCCCCCTAAAACCTGCAGATCTGTGGGTCTCTGCCTGGGGGAAGGAGGGGCAGCTGCCTCTTCTCCACAGTTTGCAAGGAAAGAAGGAGGGCCAGAGGCTATGCTAATTACCTCTAATTACCCGGAGGAGGAAAGTGCTGCTTCTGGGCCCCTCCTAATGTGATAAAGGGCTATTATTAGGCAGGAGCTAGAGGAGGCTGCCACCCAGACAGCCTGAGGAGGGAGACAGTCTGGAAGCAGCTGATCCCAAAGGCAAAGAAGGGGACAGTGGCAGCTGCAGGAAAGGAGGAAGCTCCCTTCCTACATAGGACCTACTATGTGCCAGGCACCTTCCCTGCAAAGGTCTCCACTTTCCAATAAACAAGGAAATGAAGGAACAGAGAAATTAAGTAACTCGCCTTCGGTCACACAGCCAGCACACCTGCAGCTGAGCTGGGATCTAAGCCAGGCCAAAGGCTGTGCTCTTCCTACCTACCATATACTATCCACAGCTTCCTGGGGTAGAAGGATCCTCCCCTTCCCCCCAGCTGGGTAGGAACCCAGGGCCTTGTGTGTGCTAGGCAAGCATGCTGCTGAGCTGCACCCCACACGCCTGAAACTGCAGCATTTAAGGCTTTGGGGTATGAAGAGGAATTTTCAGGTGCCCTTTTGATGCTTGCTTTGGCTGAAGGAGACTCCTGGAAACATACACAGTTCCAGCTCCCGTTACCCCAAGCACAGCGGCACCCTCAGATACAGGGCACTGGACGCTGGTTGGGAGGTGGTCACTCAAATCTGTGGTTTCCTGGCCTTGTGACCCAGCTGTCTTTGATCCCTGAGGGAAGTGGACAGTGGAGGCTTCGGACCTGGGTTTGAGTCCAGACTCTGGCCTCAAGTTCCCGGCATTCTTCTCTGTGAGTGGGGCGTGCGTGGGCTGCATGTGGGGTTTCCGTCTCCTGTGTCAGATGCATCAAGATGATTTCGGAGCAGCAGTTCTGGTCTGTGCTGGGAAGTCTCGCAGCCCCAGAGCCCGCAGTGGGTGGGAAGGCCCCGGCCACTCAGCCCTGCTGCTGGGGTGTGTGTGTGAGCCTTGGGCGAGCTGGTCCCGGGGTGGGGTGGGGGACAAGTGAGGGCAAATTGG